TGGGCTGAATTGCACAAAACGCATGATCGCACCGGCTAGTCTGGTGCGCGTTGCTATTTATTTATTCGTTAGGACAGTAAATTAATGTTGGTGCATGCCAGAAAGTCAAAACCTTTGGTTCGGGTTTTGCTCAACATCTCCGAGTCCGTTTGCGTTACCGCGCTAAACACCCATAGTGAGCATTTATCTCCTTGTCAGGGCACGGCTTGCTAATAAGCAGTCCTCGGAAGGTCGAGCCACAACAACTCAGGCAGTTGTTTGCCATATGCCAGCACTTGGGCTACGACTGAGTACCTCTGCCTCTCATATAAAGAGTGAATGCGGAGAGGTTTTTTTGACCTTTTAAGTCGAGATTTCACCGCAGCCAAATTCCATCTTCATTTTTTCCCGTCATTTTACACCTCCTGCTTGAATAGTAGAGCAGAAGGATTTGGCTTAAGTGTCATATACAAAAAGACATTTTACGATGCAGTCTGTGTTTCATCCCTTAGCCTCTGTTTCATCCCCCGTGTTCCATCCCTGAATTTGTGTGCATCCGTCGGCAAATTTTTGAGCAATCTTCCGGCTAGATATTGCTCCTTTTGTGGCAAATTTTTGAATCGATTTTTTTTTTTGAATCTTTGATCAGTTTTTTTTGTGATCACATTTTTTTTGGCTTGGGGTGAACACATATCCGTTATAACCGGATTTTTTTGGGTCTTTTTCCTCATAGGTCAGTTTTGGTGCCAGCTAAATGCCAGAGGAGTAGACATTTTTCAGCTCCTATGGTGGACGATTACTTCACATCGGTGGCCAGAGCAACTTTGATGCCAGTGTTGATTTCGGCATCATCGGCAAAATCACTTTCTTTTTGCTGTTATCGCGAATAGTGTTGTTTGTAATATTTGAATGAATTTTTCCCCTTTCTAATCTTTTGTTGCAGCAGTTACAGGCAGCAACAGTAGCGATGAATGGGAGGAATTCGACCGACGAGAATCACAATGAACTGGAATTGCTTCGTATTGAGAATAAAGATCTCACTGAAAAGCTCGAAACACTCAGGTAAAATGCATTGGATTCGATGTTGCTGGAAGGTTCTGTATGATCAAATTCCAATGTGCGGCCAGTTGGAAAACACAGGGCAGCTTCGATAAGGAGCTAAAAGACAGAGAAATTTGATACATTAGCCATTAAATTTCATTTTATTTATTTTCTCAACACGGCAATCGCCGTACGGACGAAGTCCAGTTATGGTGCCAGAATGTCCATGAGTTGATGGGCCGAAACATTCCTGTTCATCCAGCTTTTGAATGTAGTTTTTTACTTTTTTTTATATATATTACTCCTGCCAATACCTCTACTTCTATTTCTTTGCGAAATAAAGAACCAAGTAAATGTAGATGGATGATTGTCATGTATGATTGAATTTTGCAGCTGAAATTAGAAGTTCTGTTAAGCTGAGCCAAAATTAAAAGTCTTACTACGGTCACTCTCAGTTGAAGGCGAAGGGCAGGGTGGTAGCATAGGTGATTCAAAGTACGTCCTGCCTTCCCCCTCCCCCCTTCCTGTTCCCCTTCCCCACTGGTGGGATTGTCGATCGTTCTTTTTTTGCGTTTTTCTTATAAGTACGCCAATTGCGGGCTTGATTCTCTGGTTTTATTTAGCATTCGGTTTTCCATCAAAACGAGTGAGCGAATCGCAGAGGGATTTTTTGAAACTGAATAGCAACAGTAACTAGCGGCAGATTAACAAAAATACTATTTTGATTGTCTTAATAAGTGTGACTAATTATTTTTAATGCTTTTTCACTTCTGCTGCCTTTATCTCCTTCCCCTTCCTCTGTAAATCGCTGATCTCTTTTAACGTTATCTGTTTCTCACACTGCATTTTCCCCCTTTTCTTGGTTTTCTTCTTCTTTCCTCGATAACCCATCAAAACTGCTCTTACAGCGTTTTTTTCCGAAACATTTTGCTAGCTAATGAACTTTCAACTCACACTGCTTCTATTTACTCACAATACTTGGATCAACTATACCTCTGAGTCTGATTCTGCAGCCGCTTACTGGGCAACTTTTCCCTCTTCCTTGACTGATGATGCATTGCCTAGTAGTTAGCCTGCTGGCATTTTGTTCCCGTCTACTGAAGAATTTACTAGTTCAACGAGTCTAAAAACATTTGCCAGGGCTTTAGGCCGAGCATCACCACCTCCTCCCAAACATTCATTTACCATTCCTGGACAAGGATGAATTTGCTTACCGAATAAAATCACTTTTTTGAGACCTAAGGTTTTGTTGAAATTAAATGTCGTTCAATTAATTTTCAGGTCCAGCTATTTTTTTTTTTATCGTTTTAAATTGTTTCCTGTTCAGTTAGATTTCTATTTTTAGGCTCAAGCGAAAGCAGGATCATCCGAAGCTGGTCGAATACGATAAAAATGTTGCCGAATTAAATGCGCTGCGTGATTTTAAGACCAAAATGCTCGAAAGCAACAAACGATTGCAAAGAACGTTGCAGGAAAAAGAAAAAGTACTTCCCTTTTTTTTGAATGAATTCTCACATAATTTACCTTTTCCCTGCACCTCCTGTTTGCTGTTACGCAGTTGGAGTTTTTTTTTTTTTTGTTCGTTATGTTTTACATGCACTTATGGGCACTACAACATCCCGTACAAGCGCCTGATTTTTGTATGTTGTTTTTATGTGCCCGTTTTAGTTTTCTGCATGAGCATAAGGGTTTGAAAGGAGGAGAGCTTTGATAAATGATTTCTTGCTTCCATTCCACCAATGGGACAACCAAATCCTCTGTGATTCTTCCGTTCGTTTCTGTGGCAAATTGGTTACTGCCAGGAAGTCAAACGCACCATCAGCTTGCTTATAAGCAGCCCTTGAAAGAGGCATCTGTCGGTAGCCTTGCCTGTAATTGACTGGCGATTCCATTCAAGCAAACTCTTCTCGTTAAGATTGAATAAGGAGGCATTTTGACTCTTGATTTTTCATATCGTTTCGAATAATGGAACTAATTCCCTACCACATCTTAGAAAGCCAATCTTGTATCATTTTCCTCTGGAAGCTGCCAAGCACTGATAATCTACATCTAACACTTATCAGCAAATTATCCTGTTATTTTATGTGATTTTCTCGTAAATTTTTGTGACTGCTCATTAAACCGAGCGCTTTCGCGCAATTTCTGTGATCTGTTTCAATTCTAACTTGAGTTGCTGTGTTAGGAGCTGGGCGAACTGGTGAAGTCGAGCCACGAAAAGGAGGAATGGGTCACTGAGATCGAACATCGCCTCGAACTAATGACAATTGAAAAGGAAGTAGCAGAGGAAAAAGCAGAGCTGTTACAGGTCTGTTCAAACTTTCAAAGTAATACTCTTTAATTACGGCTCCGGCACAACGTTTATCTCTAATTCTTGGAAACAGTAGTCCCCTTCTCGCCTGGCTTAACTCTCTGTTTGGATTGAAGTGCGTCACGTTCGATTTCACTTCTCTCACACACGTTTCCTGCTTCATAAGCAGCTATCAGCTTGTTTATAAACAGCCCATCGGCAGTGTTATCCAAGGTTTTCCACTGGTATTCCCTATTACCTGCGTCTCTTTTGGATGCTCTCATCTCTCATAGAGAGTGGATATGAAGGAGTTTTGAAGTTTCACTGTCCATCTAGCAAAAACTTGATTTCTTTTTCAGGGTGACATTGAAGCGGAGAAGCAGCGTGCGCAAAACTTAGAAGATGAACTGAAAGCACTGCGAAGTCAAATAGAAAAAACGGGCGAGGATTTGGCACAGGCTTGCTTTTTACTTTCGTTTTTTTTTTTTTTGTTTTTTGTTTTTTGCCAGAATTTTTGCTCCTAATTTCCAACTGGAAAGGCAGATTTCTCCTTGTTTTACCGCCCTTTAGCGACTGAATTAGTCGAAAGCAGCCCGAGTAATACAGTTAAATTGTAGTTTAATTGTAGTTAAACTGTCGATAGTTTCTGTCGCTTGCAGAGGTATCAGAGGCGATGATACTCTTCACATTTTATGGAATATTTGCTAGATTACTGGCGGCCATGACACAGGGGTAATTAGGGAAGCGCTGTCGCGCAAAAGGCTTGGGATCCGGCGCAGTTGGGACAGTCAATCCCTGTACAAATTGTTCATTTGTTTCGACGGTAATTTGGCACTGGTATATGTCAGAAAGACAAAATCGCCACCAGCTTGCTTCTATGCAACCTTTGGATGGGAGGCCATCAGCAGCCTGGCTTGCGAATGATTGTGCTGCCATTCGGGCTACTTCCGATTGCCCTTACCATACAAAAACTAAGTACGAAAAGAGTTTGTGAGTCACCAGACTGATGATTTAATTTAGAATTTATCATTTTCTTTATCTTATTTTGTTTTAGAGCGATGGGCTACGTTTAAAGCAATTGGAGTTCCAGAACGAGAAGTTGCGCGAGGCCCTAGTAAAGTAAACTTAATTTATTTTTTCTCCTCGAAATGCCTAATTTTGAGCAGAAGTGTTTGTGCTGTAGCTTTCGCAAGGGAGGTAGAAAATCTGTCTAATTACGTGCTGAGTTTTAGATAGGTGTTTCGAGTGTTTCAAGAGTGATCTTATTGAACTCAAATATGAGTATCTGCAGATTAAATCTTAGCTTGAAGATTTTCTGGGCTCTGTCAATTGGTATGCTTAACTGAAGGCCAAAGTAGTAATTGAGGATTAAAGGTTTTAAAAATTTTGACCGGCAAACTTGAAAGCTAGAAACGACAGTACCTGAGGAGTTAATTTGGGGATTTGAATGATTAAATTAAAAAATCAACACTCAACTGCTTCCAGAAATTCCTTCAATAAAATTATCTGTTTTTCAGGCTTCGAGATTTTTCGAGTCGTATGACGGAAGACAAGCGAAAATTGGAACAAGAAAATGAGAAGTTGAGTGATGAAACGGCAAAGTTGGTGAAAATTTGTGAGAATTTGCAGAAAGACTTACAAACTGCCGAGCAAAACATCACTACGTTAAGGGAACAGGTTTGTTTCCTTTGGAATTCCGAAAAATGCCTTATGGCCCGGCTTCATTCACGATTGGACTATAGCACATCATCTCTTCGGATTGCTCAAATCACTGCTACATTTTGGTGCAGTTTGTGGCCGTTAGGGGCAATTCAGCCGGTATCAATCCTTGGATTTCTTGCAGTTTTTAAACCAGTCACTAGCTGATCCGGCCAGGAGAGCGTGTACTTTTTTTTGAAAGGCAGGAAAATTGAAAATGAGAAAAAACAGAAATTATTTTTGGAATAACAGATCATCGTTAGCTGTTAAACAGACAGTTGACCCAGTCACTGGGGATTTTTCCGCCAAAAGTTTGTGAGGTTGACCCGGAAGTGGCTTCGAATGGTGGTAGTTGTGAACAGCTACCACCTGTTGACAAGGCTGTCGATGGCTTGCTCTTTCGAAGATGGCTTTGAGAGAAGTTGATTTTGGATTTGACTGCCTAGCATGTGCGGTACCCATTTACCACCATGCGAGGGAACTGATCATAGAGGAACTGATTGCCCCTATTAGCATGTGATTTCGAGAACTCTCACTAGCTGCGCCTGCGATCCTGATCACAGCAGATGAAGTCCGTAGCCACCAGTGTTCGGATCTATAAATTGCCATTTATGTGTGAAAAA